CAGAGCGATGGGAGAAAAACACTAAACATAAATCATTAAACGTGCCTGTTAGTTTAAAATATCTTTATGACATGACGTGTTTCTCACATGATCACTGCTATCAACAATGCTTTTGCTGCATTTACTGATAAAATTCAACACAATGTCACACAAAAACACTGCTCAGTTATTATTTATGGAAAATGAATAGAGGATTTGATTTATATTACTTTCCTGAAGTTGATTTCGTCAGTAGCATTAGTCCACAGTATGCGTGCAGATGCTTGTTTGATTGTTAAGCCACATACGGGCTCTTTTCCTATCTCCTGTGTGCTGTATCATTGTAATTATGAGTTATGTTATTTTGCCTGGCTCAGAAAAAAACTTTAGAAATGGGGGCGTGGCGAGTTCTTAATTCTCTCACTGAAATGCTGACAATAAATGTGAACTTATTATTTCTGATCTTATCCACTGGGGTTTGCATCATTGTTTGCATCATTGTTATAACAGCGAGCCACCAATGGCATCAGAAGAAATCTCCAATAGTTAACCAATGAAATAGCTTTGGCTTTCTTTCTAATTCAAAAGCACAAGAACGGAGCACCAAGCCAAAAGCTGATGTTCTTTACCGAATCTAATTTGGTCACATAAGACAGGAGTTAGCAAATAAGCTAGCTATTAAGTTAGCTAGCTATATATCATGCTGCCAAAACTGCTTGATTATTACCATAAGCACATAGCAATAAGAGTTTTATGTAGTACAAAGGTTCTTTAGACTTGTGACAGCACTGGAACCCTTTTTGGTAATATATAGAACCTTTTTTTAAGGGTCTTTAAAGAACCATACGCAACAGTATCTCCATCATAGATAAGAACCATGCAAAGAACCATTTTAAATCTTTGAGTTGTCATGGTTCTATGTATGACTATTGCCTTCACTAAGGAACCCTTTGTAGGGATGTATAGGGATTAAGGATGGATCATTTGTTTATTAACATATCTGGATGAGTGCGACATCACAGAGGCGGCAGTAACAGTCTGCTGATGAGCTTATAAAACAAAGCAGTTTTGGTGGAATTCCCCTTTTAACACTTGTGACGGTGTGGAAAAGTGCATCGTAAACCAAAACCCAACCAGCATTTGGAAAAAGCCTGTAACCTAATCCAGGCACTTGTATTAGTGCAGATGCTTTGGTTGTGTGCAGTTCAGTGGCTGGTGTGAAGACAAGCACCGGGTTTTATGATACATTATTTAAGCCCTTTAACAGTGATTGTAGTAGCGTTCAGTTTGTTCATCCATGATTTGGTTTAACATCTGCTGATGCCTATCAGCGCTGTGGGCTGCTGGAGGGAAGGGTGGATCAAAGGCGTGTGTGAGTGTTACAGAGCACTGTTAGATTGTCTGTGAACAGTAGCTGTCATGGTGAAAAAGCGAACCTCCCTAGAGTAGATAAAAGGACCGCTACGCGCTGCTCTAGAGGTAGAGCCGCCTTCAGGTCACCCAGCAAAGCGTTCTCTTACAAATGCACCAGAGCCAGGCTCATTACTGACACTGAGACAACAGCATCGACAACAAGTCATCACCACAGTGACAGCATCTCAGGGATGGGGACAATTCTCTAGCTCAGCTCCAGATATGATCAGGTTAAAAAAAAAACCCTTTAGTCTGTAACTGTGGTTGTGGCTGCAGAGCTCAACCAAGGGTGCAATCAGCTACTTCATCTGTGTAGAGAAAAATGCTTTTGAGCGCTTTTAAGGTTATTGTCCTGTTTTACCAGTGCAGCTTCTTACATGTTTCCTTGTTGGAGTGCTATTGATCAGGTACACTGTAGTTGTAGTTGTGTGTGTCTGTGTTTGTTTTTGTACATTTTCAGGAAATAATTATAGAAAAGCCAGAAAAAAGGGACAACTTCTACCAGGTGTACATGTTTCAGAGCATTTCTTTTTGGCACTGAGGTTATAACCAAGCTATTAAAATGATTCACCATAATTCTCATGTGTAGTTAATTGTGATTCAGTAACACTAACACTGTTTTCATCAACTGAAGGTGAAAATCAGGTGAACGTGAAAATAGGGTAAACACAGTTCTAGTTATATATATGTATATATATATATATATATGCCCTTGTATCTCTCTGAAATGGTTAAATGAAATGAAAAAACATACTTTAAAAACATACAATGTACAACACACAATGTAAAGGGCAACTTTAAATTCTTTAAATTATGTATAAGAGCTATATATACACGACGTAAGGATATGAATGATATTGTGTTTGTGTGTATCTTCATAGTAGTAATGGCGCTGTGAACAATACAATTCATAGGCCTGTACATTGAGCATCTCTCAACAGCCGTAATTATGGAGTATTTTTGGATTAGATCAAGAGGTTTGCATGACATGTCTGTGCTCTCTTTACCTTTCTCTCGCTCTCTCTTTCTCTCTGCCTCTCACACACACACATACGCACACACGCCTGCTCTCAGTGGTGACAGATGGCGGTGTCAGTCATAATGGGATAAATCCGATTGCTGCCGAATGAAAGATGTCCCTCCGATCCAGCGAGAGAGAGAGAGAGAGAGAGAGAAAGAGAGAGAGACAGTTGATGTGTCTGTGTCTGTATTGATGTGTTTGCTCAGAGTGAAATTGGCGTGGTGAGGAGGTGCTCTGTCTGTGTGTGTGAGAGAGAAAGGCAAAAAAGAAAGCACTGAAATGATGGCTATAGTAATTCATATTCTGTTACACACACAGAGACACCCTTCCCCTCTGTCACGTGTCTACTCCCACCCCCCACCCTCCTCCACCACACACACACACACACACACACACAGCAGGGTGGACACTGCAGACAGCTTGGCGATACAGGGAAGGTGTGTCGGCCCAGTTCTATTGTTTCAGAATCTATGAGAAAACACTTCTAGGGAAAAAAGGGAGAAAAAAGAGAGAGAGAGGGGGATGAGAGAAGGAGGAGGAGGAGTGTAAAGGAAAGAGTGTGTGTTAGGAAGTGGGCTACAGGGTCCACGCCTCTAGACTCTTGGGCGTACTGCAGATAAGAGTTTCTGTTACAATGCTGTGTGCAGATCTACTCTTTACAGCAAGAGGCTTGTGTCTGCATAATATACACAATCGCATATTCTGTAATAGTTTCCTCACTGAGCGTTTCTCCAGGCTTAAAATTTATACGAATGTCTCGTAAAAGACAGAGTAAACTGCTGCACATTCTTCTCCAGCTGGACTCCGAATTATTCATCCTGTCAAGTATTTGTTGCTTAAGAACAGTTTCGCTTTCATCCTACTGGGACAATACAAAAAGTGAAATTATTAGTAACCTTTGGTTTAATTGGCTAGACGAACTTCCTTTTGCACACTCAGTTCTTTATCTCTCTCCCTCTCTCTCTCAGGCACTTACCTTACTTCTCTTTTGTGCAAAAATGTCTACATGATTAAATGGTTAAGATGTAAACAAAGTAATTCACAGTGGTTTGAAGTGAAACGTTCTGTTCTGGAGAAACTTACAGAGTCAGAATTGTCCACAGAGGTGGTGATGGATGTGACCGGACATCTATCTAGTGTTTAAGCTCAGACATCACCAGGGCCCACTGGCAAGTCCAAAGTTTTTAATTACTCACTTCTATAACCTAAGAATAGTTCAACCAGTTTCCATTAAAGTCCCTGTAGTTACTGAATAATAAGCCTCAGTATGTAATAAGACTGGGAGATAAAGGGGTTAATGCTTCTCAAAGCTACCTTATTGGATACTATCACATGAAATGGTTACGAATGTTGCCTGATACCAGATATATTGCTTTATAATAGCTTTGAGATAAAACCTTTAGTGACAAAACATATCAAAACTCAAAAGACACATGTAGGTTCACTGGATATTTTGTATAGTAAATGGTTATGTTTGCATAGACATCATGTTCACCTTTATTGTAAAGAAATCAAAGTAAGTTTGTTTTTAATGAAACATTTTACATCAAACCACTCTGAATGACTTTGTTTACATCTCAGAAATTGGGTCATGCAGACATTTTGAAAAATGCACTTCAAACAGTAAATACAACGCCACATTATAACTTTCTAGGACAACATTACTGAAACTATTCCTGGGCAATGTTCTCTTTTTCATCCATATTTAACTCTTGTGTTGCTGAATAAATTTACTGTCATTAAACCTCACAACATTTCTTTACGCTGACCACTTTTTTATCTAAGCCAGTGAGCATTCCCTCACAGTTGTGCAGCTGCATCAATCTCAGTATCCTTCAGTATGTTTATTGTTTGCGTGTTTGCAAACATCTCTCTGAATGCCAATGAGGACTTTTTGATTGGTGGCTTTTAGTCTAAATCCACCAAGAGGGTCCTCCAGAGATCTGGGGATTGGGAGCTTGTGTAAATGGGGAATTTGGGAGGGTGGTGACCCAGGCGATAATCAAAACGGCCTGGGGAATGATCCCTCTTCTGGCACCAGTAGACAAGCAGCTGGGGCTGTGGAGGGTTCAGAACCAAAGAAAGGACCAAATCATAGAAAAAAAAACTTGGCATGTTTGTAGATAGAGCCTTGAGATCCCTCTAGACCATTTGAGTAGTTGAGTAGTTGAGCCATCCCCTGGTAGTTTTATTGTTGTTTGATTGTAAGTCTAAGCATAAGCATGTGATCTTTAGGTTTTTGTAGATGTTTTCATTGAGATTGTGAGTCGCTGATGCCATCAGTATTCATACTACATCCATGTATTCTAAATGTTATGATTATATGTTAAATCATCATTATGATCATCATCATCATCATCAACATCTTAAACCACTTAATCCAGATAGACTCACGGTTGCAGTCAAGAGAGCAGAGAATCCCAGACGACCCTAAATGTTTTGGTTAAATAGGATATTGCTTCCTTTTGAAACAACATATTATTTATTCCTTATGTGTTCCCATATCTGTGCAGAATTCCATGTGACTTCAATGAATGTCAATGAAATGGATGTGGTTTCTAACAGTGCCATCTCTCTCTTTCCAAAGCTGCCAGGACTGAAGAGGAAGCTGACTGGGGCCGTGGATGGTTCTCCGCTAAACGGGGTTTCCGATACCTCCATGACCCAGGGCAGTGCCAAGCGACTATGCCTGGAGGATGTTACCCTGGCTGTAGGCCCAAGCTTTCCCCAGCCACCCTTCCCCACTGGAACTGGGATAAGTAACCAAGGAAGTGGGCTTGAAGGTAACCGACTGAACAGTAATAACAATAGCTTGGGTTCCCCATACTCCATGCCTCCTAAAGCTAGTCCTGGATCGACACCTGGAGGTGCTGGAAGCTCAGGAAGTCTAGCACCTGCCTTCAACCCAAATGGCAATTCAGCAGCCCCTTCTGTGGAACAAGAGCTTCAGGAGATTCTGGATGAGCTTACAAAGAACCCTGATCCCTCTTTGCCTGAGCTGGACATTGAGAAGATCCTAGGGAACAAGACTGATGAGCAAACAAGTAATGCAGGAAACTTTGTCCACCTAGATGGGAGTGGAACCCCCAAACGTTCCCCACAGAGACCTTCTCACCTGGAAGCCCATCTCACCCAATCCCCTGGTTTCCCTCAGGCAGGCTCTCCTCAAATGGGTGCTAGTCCAGCCGGTGCTCCTTATACCCTACCCCATCCATCTAAACCAGTTCCTTCCCCACTTTCAGCATCACCACTTTCTTCTTCTTCTTCCCAGGGCCAGAACCAGGCTCGATCACCCATGCTTTCAGCCGCACTGTCCAGTAGACCCACTTCCAACTGGCGTGAGGTGTCTCGGGCGCAGCAGCTACAGCATTTGGCATCCAACAGTAAGCACCACTCCACCAGCAGTGGTGGGCCATCACCAGCCCAGCCAGGCCTATCCTCACTGGGCCAGCAGGGATCCTCCTGGGCTGGCCCATCTCCACCATACCGGCCAGGAGACAAACTCCCCAACTCGTCCCCCCACCAGCAACCCTTCAGCCCAGCCAGCAGCATCCAGAGTCCACAGAGCTCCCTCATCTCCAGCATAACTCCAGCCCCATCTGCTGGACCTTCTCCTCCATATGGGCCAGAGAAACTAGCTAGTCCAGCTCTTGCTCAGCCACCTTTCAGCCCACAGAGCACCCTTCTTCCAGGAAGCACTGCATCTGGCAGTTCTAACTCTTCTGTCCAAGGGTCCCAAGCGAATTACCTAAGTGGTATACCACCAACATCAGGCTCCACAAGGCCATCACCCCCCTACCGATCAGACAAGCAACATCCGAGTCCTGCTGGACCAACTCAGCATGGAGCCCAGCCTTCCACACAGGGGCGTTCTTTCAACTCACAGAACGGTCAAGCACCCAGCATGTCCAGTCAGCTCTATAAGGCTATCACATCCAGCCAGCCATCCAACAACAGCCTCAAACTGCTCATGCAGTCATCACAGACAAAATCCGCTCAGCTGCAGCTAAGCAAAACCACTCCAGGCAGCGTAGGTCCAGAAACCTTCTCTTTCAACAACACCAAGCCCTTGCGGCACTTTGATCCTGAACCTCATGCTTCCAAAATGGGGACCGTGTCCCTGGGTGGATTCCGGAACGGCAGCATGCAGCCCACACCTCCCACTTCAGCTGCAGGGCATGCGCATCTGCTTCAGCAGCGCATGCAGAGAGGGATGCAGGCAGATGGCATGGTGCCCCACTGCGGTGAGGTGAGTACTCCCACTTTCTTTTATTTATTTTATGCATAGCGTATTGTTTACGTTGAAGTTTTGTGGGTGGCATATTATTTAACTTCATAAAGTGGAGATAACAATCCCAGGCATTACTTGTTTAATGGCAACAGTTATAACAGTTTCTAGATTGAAGGGGAATTCTGCTGATTTTTCAAAATTTCACCAGAATTTAACTGTTCAGATGTAAACATAGTCATTTGGAGTGTTGCCTAAAGGTGAATTGTAGAGAAACTTAACGACGCTTGATTTCTTTACAGTGGCGGTGATAGGGGTCGTAATATCTATAGTGCAAATATAACCATTATATTTTAACCAAAAGCATGAGGGACACTACACACACCTTCTGATTTTTTAAATGTTGGTAATGGTAAAATGGAACGTACATAGAAAGAAGTACGTAAAAAATATGTTTTCATCACAGTGCCTTACAGGAACCTCTCCACCATTAATTTGTTAAAAAAAAGACATTTTAGGGCAAAGCATTTTCACAGAAGTATTGTAGAACAATGTCAGGTATCAGGCAGTGTGTTCAAACCATTCCAGATAGTAATATTTTTTGATGTGGCTTCTAGAGACATCAAACGCTTCAGATATCCGGTTCCCATCACCACCACTGTGAAACATTTCACATCAAACCACTCTAAATGACATATGTTTATGTCTTAACAATTTAATTAGGCTAGAATTTTGAAAAATCACTGTAATTCCCTTTGATGTAATGGATATGGTTAACTGTAAGGCTAATAAAAGAAGCTAACGTGATATTCTACTTACTGAACAGGTAACGTTTAATTTCACTTGATTTGCTTTCACCAGTAAGGAACAGTATGATGCAGAGAGCAATCTCTGGCTATTCATGAAAATCCAAGCCTTCTGATAACCATACCATGTGGCTTCTACAGCAGTAGATGGTTGCTATTGGGCTTTCTTCTCAGATCTGCGTTCTCATATCTGCATTCTCATATCTGCGTTTTCAGATCTGTGTCACACTCTTGAGCATTGTTTTAGAGAGTCTGTGGACCTAAGCACTAGGAAAAAGACTGTATTGCCATGATAGAAATATGTTTTGACTGGGATTTGCCAACGGAGAACCCAAGGACATGAGGGGAGGGAGGGAGAGAGAGAGAGAGAGAGAGAGAGGAGAGAGAGAGAGAGAGAGATGCCTCAGTACTTTTCCATTTGCTTGCTCAGGTTTGGATATGCCTGCTTAATGCATGCTCACTGGGAAGGGTCATTTGAAAGGAGGGAGGGAAAGGGTGGCACCCTGCAGTGTGTCTTGTACAAGGGGGCATTAAAGATTTTCTGTGTCTGTGTGTGTGTAAAAGGGGGAGATGGAGGATTAGGAAACATCAGAGGTTAATTGAATGGACAACAGAACAGAGAGCAGAGGAATGTGAGGCTTTGTATGTGATTGGCATTCGTGCTCAGGGAATGCACACACGCACACACAGTGCATCTTTATTAATTAGGACCGGGCCATCGCTGTTTCATTTTCATATTCTGGTCTCAGAAGATAACACAGTTCATTCTTGCAGGGGTGAGTAGATAAAAACAAGAAAGAAGAGATGGAACCTTTTGTGCAGATCAGCTTTTTTTTTGATTATCTACACTTGAATTATTCTGATTTTGGCCTTGTTACTCCGTTTACTCCACATTTGTAATTCACACCGTTACAAAACAGAGAAAGTAGATACAGTAGTATGCAAATGTCTTAGGCCATCTGAGAAAATGATATGTAAATCTGAACAGTAATCATTTATTTGTTCAAAAAAACACCAACATTAGAGAAATACAAATAAACAGTATATTGTGATTTTATGTTTCCAGACCTCTCCTCAAAGTAGCTCAACATTTACATTTACCATCCAGTACCTACTTCAGCCAATCAGTTCTTCATTAAATACATTTAACTGATGGAATTTAACAAATCCATAGCACTGCTGGAAGTCAGGAACCAGACCTGTGTTTTTTAACTGCATTCTCCCAAGTGCTATATTAACTGTTAACTTTTGAAAAAATCCTTTTTCGTTTTACTGTTTTTATGTTTATTTGTTTTTATTCTAATGTTATGTAGCGTCATATAGTGTGTTTAAAGGCAAGAACACACACTGTCAAGATGGACCTTTCATGGCTGCCTAAGACTTTTATACTGTACATTATTGAAAAAAAATGTCCATATACACCTGCTTGTTTCATGTGACTTATATGTGGATTGTAACCTATAAGATTGTAACCACATACATTTACACTTGGTAGTCAAATGCACCTCTGGTCAGATTAAAATCTGTTTGCTAGGTGGCACATAATACACAAATCAGCTCATGTACAACAATCAATTGCCTGTGTTGCTCCTCGTTTTTCTGTTATATCAAAAGAAAATTAAAATGTGTTGTTCATTTTCTTACACCAGCAGTGGAATTTTACAAGAAGACAACTGTCTATAACAATTAGCCTCCTGTACTAGTTATTGAGGTCAATGTATTGTGAAATGATGAAAAACGATGAGCTAAAGTGAAGGTTAACCAAGCTGGCTCTTTATTTAAGCTAACTAGCTCGACCAAATGCCAATAAAATAGGCTACACAGTTAAACTCACAGGAGAAACTCATGTCAAGAGCGAACTGAAGGAGCAGCTTTGCCTCTGTTAGGTGGTAGCCATCCAGGGGGTTGCAGGACAGCAAAGACTCCGTCACAGTATTGGGAGGAACTTCGGGTGTCAAATGTGGCTTTGAAAGACAGCTGCATTTACACTGGTGTAGCATCTGACTGGTTTGAGCGATCAGATTTAAATGTTTTACATGTTTTTTGGTGCATTTAAAGATGTGAGTATGAGATATTATCCCAATACTCAAGATCTATGAAACTTCCAGGTGTAAGTGGGGTCTGTGAGATTCATAGTACACTAAAAATAAAGGTGTCAAAAAGGGTTCTTTGAAGCAATAAACCACTTTTGGTTCCCTGAAGAACCTTTCAGTGTAGGTTTCCACTTGTGTACAGGAAATTTGTGAGTGTGAGGAACCTTTTTTCAACTCTTTTTGCAGGCCCCCTAGTTGCCATTCCGCCAGTGGAGTGGAAATCAAGTTGGATTTTTAGTTAATGCAAACAAAAAAATATTGTTTTGTGTTATCAGATTAACTAGGACACTGTGGGCTGTCTGTGTGTGAAATGTTGTGACTCTGTGTTGAGCTGCTAGCGAGCAGTGAGGGGTGAAACGGGAGAGGTGAGAACACCCTGCTGTAAAAACAGTTCACACCTCCCCACAAGGATGGCTGTGCTGAGATAAAATAGTTTAGAACTGCCACAAAAAATATTATTTAACCCCTTAAAATGCCAGGATTACATTATTACAGACGAATGCATGTTATTCAGTAACTGCATGGACTACAATGCAAACTGAGTTAGTCTTAGGTTATAGAAGTATTTGGACCTGCTGGTGTGTCCTGGCCATTTAAGGGGTTAAGCACAATAAAAACTCTTTTATAAATGTTGCCTTGCTTAAACAAATCCAGTTTACTTCTGTTTTTTTTTAATTCCATCAAAAAATATTTCATCAACATGATTGAAGAAAAAATGGTTAGTTCAGATGAGGGACTTCCTTCAAAACAGGCAAAAATGGCATTTTACGGTCACTGTGAGAAAGTCGAAAGAACCTCCACACAATGTAAAAGTTCTATACCAATTGAATTTTTATCTAGAATCATACCTCTAAAGCAAGAGCCATTTGGGAAGGAGTGAATTCCAATAACTGTTTCTGTATTCGTTGCTCTTATTTGTATGTGTGTTTGTGTTTAGTTAGCATCATTTTCTCTTGTCGTAAATCTAAGTGTGCGTTTATGTGGTTTGAAAGAAATGATGTGATAATCTGTGTGCACTAAAGGGAGAATGAGAAGGTGCCTCTTGATGTGTGTGAGTGTTTGCCAACGTGCTAAAGAGAGAAGCAGTGTGAGTGTGTGTGTGTGTGTGTGTGTGTGTGTGTGTGTGTGTGTGTGTGTGTGTGTGTATAGAGTTTCAAAGTGCCGCGGCAGCATTGTGTCTTCCAGGCCGGCGCTCTGTTTGAAGACATAGTTCACCTCTTTCAGCCCAGTAGCCCTCTTTCATCACTCCAATAAAAGATAATGAATTTAGAGGAGGCGGGGCAGGGTCTTGGCAGGCTCGGCTGTGGCTGCGAGCTTAAAGAGGCCCCTCTGACATGAGGGAGGGAGAGAGAACAAACCTGCATCCCCCCTAACCACAGACACCCCCCCACATTCAGACACACATGCAAACTACTACACTTCTAGCATTCTGTTGCTGTTTGCCAGTTGTATCAAACATAATTTCTGTGTGACTTGACAGTTCCACAAAGCAAGTAAACAAAAATCAAGGTGCATGGAACATGTGATTACACTGTAAAAAATAATAGGGAATCTACTGGCAGCAATTTCACCAGTAATTTGCTGTTTATTTACAGTTCTTATTTACATATTATAAATTACAGTGCAAATTACTGTACTTCTAAATACACTTGATTGCTGTATTTGTGCAGTCATTTCCTGTTTTACTCCTGTATTTCTAATGTACAGCCCAGATGTGCTGAAATGGGCTCCCACAGCTGTCTCAGCTTTACTTACATTATGTAGTAGAACATGTAAAGATACAGTCAAACAGGGGAAATGTGTCTAGCTAGCTTTTGATAACAAATGCTTGAACTTTCATGCATGCTATGATAAAGTTAAGAGAACAAGTATGCCACACCATGAACTGAACTCACATTACAGTCCACTGTCATTAAGACTATACAATGAGAGCAGTAAACAAATATCTATTACTATAACATTACAGGATGAACCAGATAACTGCATCATAAAACACCATCATGATTAGCATAACAAGACATGCAAATGCATTTGGAGAAGGAACAGCATGGTAAAACAAACAAAGAAAGAAAAAGAAAGTGAGAGTGTAGGAGATAAGTAATTACAGGTAAATGAACGTAAA